TTCTCAGCTACACACTCCATAGTGTCGAGGAGGGTTCCATAATGTTCTCCTATTCCCACTAACAAATAATTTCTCATAATCAAAGAAGTTGATGTATAGTGGCAAGTTTCACTCAATAGTTTGTTCAGGTCTGGATAAGGAAGGAGTTTCAAGCATGCGATTGACAACCCCATCTTTTAGAAAACAGTCTTGATAATAAAAACTGTCATCAGTAAAAGTCATCGGAATTTTTGGTTACTGTTACAATAAATTAACTGCAAAATATAGTTCCAATCTTAAACACTAATGAGGATCAGAGTTAGTATTAGGAATCTCGGTGCATATAAAGTGGCCCTGAATAGTAGGCCTTTCCTAACTCTAAATTCCAACGATTTAAAACTTATGACTAATTTGGGAAAGTCACTTATTTGTTCTGAAGAAATATATGTTTTATTAGTCCTTTAATTTTTTTACATTTTCATTGACTCATTCATATTCCAATGGTTAAGATCACGAGTCAGATGAAGTTAGACATTAACACCGTTGGACGCCGATTGGCTCAGTGGTCTAGTGGTTAAGTGCTCTCGCGCGAAACCAGTAGGTCCTGGGTTCGAGTCTCGCAAGGGGCGAGGTCGTGGATGCGCACTGCTGAGGAGTCCTACAATAAGACGAGACGTCCGTCCAGTGCTTCCAGGTTTTCCATGTTGGTCTAGCTTCAACTGACTCATGATCTTAACCATTGAAATTACTATAATATCCAGAAAACCCATCTCATATCATTCATATTCATTAATTTCTGATTGATTAAAACAAATCAAGATCCCATGGTTGTTCATCAGTATTCTTTATGTTCACCCCAATACCAAACTAGTTGCATATTTCGTTATGGATCTTGATCTATTTCTAGTCTATAGTAAACCATCTACGTTCTGTGCTTTATTCCATTTGTCCAGCCTTATTGGTATTTTTTTCTCTGTTAAAACACTAATAATACGACAGTTTCTGATGGGTTGATAGTCGATGAAAGGTAGTCATACAATACAGTCATTTTGTGTACATGTGTGTGCAAAGAACAGAATACTTTTTACATATTAAGTTTAAGAGACAGAGAGAAAATTGACAAGAGATATTCAAACGTCAGAATTATACATAGGAGTGTTCGGTTACATCATTTATTGTTGAGCTAGTCAAGTGTCTTAAGATAAGACATCCTAAGTTCCATCTAGATCAAATGAATTGCCAGTTTTATATTCACTGTCTAAAGATGACAATATGTCTTGTACATCTAATAAGTAGAATGCACTGCTTAAAATATATTTGGTACTCAAGGTACTTGAAATACTAAAGAATTGAAATTTCTGCAAAAATAAAACACAGGGCTGTTAAATGAACATGGTTGTTTCACTAAAAATCGTTGTACGATAAAAATATGAATTCGTTTATTGTGGCTAGCAGTGGAATCTACTATGCGCATCTCATTCTAATTGTGACTTATCAGCTAGATGTTTGTACATCCCGGTGTTGGTGTACATATCAGGACTTATACACATTTTTTTACCTCAAAAGATCAACAAGTTATCTACTGAGATACTGAGTCCACAGACAATGTACATAGGGTTCACATATACCAACAAAGACGAATCAGAATTCAGTGAAGAATATAAACAAAGAGATAATTCAGAACGTGTCTAAATATGTGAAACATATAGTTGAAAATAGGGATTTGTGGAGATTGTATTAAATTCATGAGTCGATCTAAGCTAGATTACCATTGAAAACCTGGAAGCCCTGGATGGCTGTTATGTCTTAGTATGGAAATCTTCACCTGTGCACATCTACGATCTCGCGCACGAGCTTCTAACCTCTAGATCAGTAAGCCGGTACCCAACAGTGTTAATGTCTAAATTTTAGAAATAGAAAAGTAATGTCATCAGTTATATAATTGGAGATAATATTTGTCTTTTTTCTTAACTAATAATACTATTCTTATTAGGTTGTAATCAGTTGAGATGAATCCATAAAACAAATAAATTCATACTTTTATTTAGCTATCATAATTGATTAAGAACACACATCAACTCTATAATACAACTTACACAATGTTCGTCAATTTTGATCAATAATCTTACATCACAAACAGATACTATCTTTATCAACTGTATCAAATTGACAAACATTAAACAAGAAAAAAAGATTTATTGAACACGAAACTCACTTTTCACATAAATAAAAAAACACTGAGAACTATAAGCAAATATAGATATTTGCTAGCAATGGAATCTAGGACTCACGTTTCATCCTATTTGTTACTCGTCAATTAAATGTAGCTGCATCCCAGATTTCATATTTACTCCAAGACTCGAACTCAATACAATTCACTTCAAACACAATCGCATTATCCATTAGCTACTAAGTAACAGAGTGAACCTCAACTCTAGGATGCAGAACAATGAATTTCAAGTATTATCTAATCACAAAATTTACATATTAATGTTTCTATATTTCTATTTGAAATTATTGTTCCCTATTTTAATCAACCCATTTGCTTATGCAAATGGTAAAACAACTGGTTACCAACATTTAGTTTGTTTATTTATTTATTTTTTGAAAGAGAAATTTACAAATCACTGAAATATTTATTTCTTGTCTCAGTATTTTCATAGACAACTAATAGAAATCAATAAAAATTCTAGAAAACTATCTTATCTTAATGAACTATTTCTTATTTCATTCATAAAACATACTACTAACTATTAGCAATAAAGTATTATACATAAGAACCTATCAAAGGTTGTTGTAATTGTTTTGTTGTTGTTTGTTTGTTTTTCTTTTTAGTTACAAAACGCAAAACAAATATGCTAAGAATACATAGATAAATTGTGTATATTTCTTTCTCTTAGAAACTAATCGATACAATCAATAGTTTCAAATCATTTAAAATAATAATTTGAATGTATGATTATTATTATTATTACTATTACAAGAAGATTTGTACGTAGTTTTTAGTTGTTAAGTAATTTTAATCAATAAATCAATTTATATTGGTTGATTGATTATTTTTTTTACAGATGAATAAATGTGTACATTGATACATAATATTTTGAAAAATAAAAAAGAAAATTTTTGTGGTTTGAAATCAAAATAACTAAAAAAATTTGTTTGAATGAATAAAGTGAGATTATTTATACATCTGTCAATGTTCAATATATGTGAAGCAGTTTTTGATCATTTTTTCTTTGGTTGGTTCATTTAAGGAATAAGTTTTGTAAATAAGTAGGTTTTGAGTTCAAATCTTGTGAGGCAGAGTTGTGGATGAACAGTGCTGAAGAGTTTTATGATAGGATTAAACGACAGTTTAGTGCTTTCAGGTTTTCCATAGTAGTTTAGCTTCAATCGACTCATGATCTCAATTATTGAAATTACTAATAATATCCAGGAAAAATCCCTTCTGAAACATAATTTCCATTGAGAATTTCATTCAAAGTTTTAAATTCCATTTTATTTAATTTTTAACGTATGGAGAGTTGAGATGCACCATAGATACGTGTTTACAGATAACATATGTAAATAACTTTAAATGATTAAAATAAAAAAATCTTCAGTGAAAATCATGCACTTATATTCAATACCGGTAAACTAAAGGAATGGAAAACTATTCGAAATTATTAGATATTGAACAGATATTTTATTAAATATTTAATAAAAGGATTAATGATCTTACTCAATGCATGTATTATAAATGATATAATTAATAACTGTCACTGTTCCATCATAATCATTATCCTCATCATTATATGATGTATAGTATACTTATAAGTAGATGTTTTTTTTAAATAAACCCCATTCGATTGACTTAGACTATACATTGCACCTATATCCAATTAATTTTCTGTATATGTAATACAGAAATGTACTAATCATGTAAAGTAGACTATAAAGTCAACATATGCGGAGAAACTCTAATCGAGAATCAAAGTTTAAACATGAAATCAAAAAATTGGTATTTTTACTCAATACTATTTATCACATTTTGACTTGTGTGAACTTTCATCCTTTCAGTCTCTTAACTAATTAATAAGATTTATACAAAAAATGATATTCAGTCTTTTAATATATATTTATACAAAATGGTTGTATCATGTAAGTGACATGGTGAGTATCAGCGAAAATGCAATAGTAATAACCCCTTCAATGGATTTATGTTAATAATAGAACTAATGAGAATAAAAAATAAACAATATGAAATGACATGAAATACATGATTCAATAAAAGATTAAATATGACCACAATCGCTTCAGTTAGATCAATTTTGTGCGATGCCATCAAATTTATAAAATCATCGATCACCATCACCGCTTGGATTCCAGCCTGGAAGTCTAAAGATTATCTACGTAAATAACAAATGGCCGCATAAAGTTAATTCAATATACTGTACATAAGTGATAGCTTTAACTGTTCCTAATATACATAGTTTGCACCTTTTGAAAGCTGAGTAGCACTGGAAAGCTATTTCGACTATGTATGGAATTCCTCACCAGTGCGTATTCACGATTTCACAAGGGACTGAACTTCGGACTTTCAGGACTTTCAGCAAGTCCCTAATCTTTGAACCACTCAGTCGATATCGAATGGATTACAAGTATAATTTCAATCTATTTGTGATATTCTACTACTAAATCCAAATGTCACCGATGAGTAGTTGCCACACATCCGACAAGTGTGAACCAGATCGCTTTTAGTTTTTCACTAGAACACCAGGAATCATCTTCAAAAATCAGACACTAGCGGAGTTTGTGGAGATTCTTGAATCGTATAATTTACATTACAATAATTGAGAAACAATAGTCGTTGTCTAGGCTGAATTCATCATAAAAACTATGAAATTCAACAGTTTTCATTAATCCTCATTACATTAGTATATTCATTTAGTTATTTGGGGGTCATGTCTTCTTTTTAAAACTCTCTGCATACTTTACATTACATATTCTCATATTATTTTCCCTTTTTTTACATTCGTTAGTGCGCAACAAGTCCATGTCATAGACGTGAAGAAGATAATAAACTAGCTGTGGAAGAATTCAAACGTGATTTAAGTCGACGTAATATATTTCGATGTTACGCTAGACCAACACCATCCCATACAACATTAATTGCAACAACAACATCAACAACACTAACAAATATTCCACAATTTTCGAATAATATTTTAACAAATGATCAACAATCTTTCACTACTACCATTTCGTCTTCATCATCATTATCTGTTCCTTCAATTTCTCAATCTTCTACAACATTAAATAATTCTATACTAATGTCAATAAATAATAAATCACCAACTAATCGACATCATCTACCTCTTATTCAACAATTGGATTCGAATCATGCTGCAGCTATACTACATCGTTTATACACATCATCAATGTTTATGCATGGTCTTCTATGGCCTGGTGGTATATTTCTAACTGCTTTAATCATTTTATTATTTACATATTTTACTGATTCATGTGAAGCATGGGCTGGAGATAAAACTGTCATTGCTTAAACAGGAAAATATATTATTTCCTTTAATGGATTAAATTCAAAGTGAAACAAAAATACATTGTGTAGAATGTGATTCATCTCAAATCTTTCCTAATTTCAATTATTATCATTATTTAATTGATATACTATGGATCACCATATTCTATTTAGATTAACTTGTGTTTTTGGCTATTCAAATATTGATATGTATGTGTGTAGGTGTGTGTGTATGTAATTTAGATTGCGTATTTATATGTTTGTATGTGCAACGTGCAGGTTGTGTGTGTGTATGTGTGCGTACATGTATGCACCTGGAAACATTAAGTAATAAATAGAATTTATAAGGGAATTTGTTCATTGTTTATTCTTTCATTTTATTTATGTTAATTAAATCCTCAGTATTGTATAATTAATAAATTCCTTGAAATTTGTATTACTATTTATGAAATTAAACATGTATTCATCTTGATGTGAAGATTCAAAGAGTGTAGAGTAAATAAATTATTTGTTATTTCCAGGAGTATTTGTAGTGCTCATAGTAATCACATAAATATGTATAGTTTCATTCAATTGAAATCTATACTGATGACAACGGATGTATAAATTTTATATGTTAATTAGACATAAGCAACATAAAATTTGTGGAATAAAAATAGTGTAAGCAAATTTTCAAACTTAAAATCTTACAGTCGATAAGAAGTGAATGTATGATTGTGACTAATTTTTAGCTGTATAACTCATTGTCTTCAATTACTGATTACAATAATCACTAGGGCTTCTAAAAGGTAGTTTGTACCCACTAACCCAGATGAATCCAACAGTTAATGGTTTCATGGCTTGCTACCACGTTTTGGTTTGACTGATGTACGTTTTCAGCCACACACTCCTACACTATAAAATATCGTGCGTTGGGCGAGAGGTAATTGTTTGGCACACATTAGATAAATCTTAATCAGTTGAATTTATGAAGATCTGTCACCTCATCAACCGATTTTTATCTTTACTTAATGCCATGAGTCTAACTTTATTTGATTATCCCAGCATACTTGAGTAAGGCTTTTAAGGCATCTATGGTCAAATATTATTTACTGATGAACATCTTTCATTTTTAAAAGTCACATTACACAGCCATAGATCAAAACAGTAGGAACGTTTGTTCAGTATACTTCTCCTTTGGTTGATAAGCAGACACCTTTCCTAAGCCACAGATGACGTTGGTTAGAGCCAATACAAGTTTCGAATCCACGACGGAACATTATCGAACACCAACCTACCTGGGAAAATGAGAGTTCCAAGATAAGTAAAGTGAACGATGTGTCTAACTAATTCACTCCATATCATAAGTTTTAGCGTTTATGTAGAACAATCGTGAAGCAACACTTTACATTTAGGGGAAGTGATACTCATTCGAAAATGTGTTTTCATTGTTATTAAAATTGGTCAGAGAACTCCATAACTAGCCAATCGACTAAATTAACTTATCATTTGGTTTAATTCAAATTTTATCTTCATACACTAAAAATGGGAAGTTATAACTAGATATAATACCTTTATATCAATTTTGTACATAATAGTTTCGCTTCTGCAAACTCTCTCATTTTCACTATTCCAAATTACAGATAGTTTAATCTGTAAATCTATCTCTCTGTGTCACCTTGTTCGAAGGAATTCACTCTGTATCTGCTCAGAATGCAGCAACTGTATATTCAGTAGTTCGTTAAACAGTATGAAGTATTTGTGCAACATTTATTGCTAACTAAAATCGATAGCACCATCTGTGAATTGATAAATAGCTGTCTATGTAGAATTCATTCCTGTATTGGTTGGTTGAATCTTCCCATTGATGTTTAGGACTAAAATTGGTCAGTTTCTTAGTGGCTTATGTGCATTCTGCGCAGACTGCCTCGACATTACCTTAGGTCACAAGCGTTATAAGAGATTAATCAACTGCAATTCTCAACATCAATCGGAAGATTCAAACAAACAACACAAAAACGAATTAAAACTTCACCCCATTTCACAAGTTAATAGCTATCTGAACTCAGTAACTAAGTAGATAACGCGATGGCGTTTGAAGCGAATGGTGTTGAGTTTTAGTCCTAGAGTGAACATCAACTCTGGGATGCAGGTACATCTAATTGATGAGTCCCAAATAGGACGAAACGCGCGTTCTGGATTCCATTGCTAGCCACTATCAATCTTTGTTTATAATGTCTATGTAATAGTATACTTATTGGTTATGATTTACATAGTTAAACTGAATTTTATGCAACAGAATTTTATTTAAAACCCATTTTGAATATTTTAATCTCCTAGATAGTAGTAGTAGTAATAGATAACGGAGGTCTCAGGTTGGAAAAATAGTCTAAAACTGTATTCATTTTAAAGTAATTCTTTAGAAGACTGTCGGATTTAAAATTTAGATTTAGTGACCCTTAACATTGATTTTCAATAAAATCTACTATTAAGTGTTTTCGATACAGAATAAATTTCAGATGTTTTGTATCAATACTTAGACTGAAGGTATAATTTACATGAGAATGTACATTATTTTGCTTTGTTCTCAAAGCCTGAACATCACTTTAACAAAAACTTTGTTGATAGAGTGGTTGATCATTAAATAGTGAGTGACCAATGAATTTAAATAAATCAGTACTACAGGAGATCAGCCACTGGTTGAATAGCTCAGTGATTATGAGAGCGTATTATGTGACGTGCGCTAAGTTCCACGAGGAGCATTAGTTCCATCAGTATTCGAGGTAAGCCTTGATGACGAGTGACAATTGGTAAGAAACCTGGGTCCATTACTTACTGTTGAATAGCTTCAATGAATAGAAAAATTATTGAAAATTCTGAGGGCACACTTAGTGAATATTGAAGGAGTTCCAGATAACCGCAGTCTAATAATACTAATCACATTATTCAATATCCCATACATAATTACAATGGAGAATTCTCAGAACAAGTATTCAATGTTGCAAGAAATTTTCATTCAGTATCTATTTTATTTGTTCAATTTTTCAAGTCTATCGGGCTTAATGCATGCATATTTCAATGCAATCGTTTGTTGTTTCTCCATGAACTATGTATGGGAAGGAACTATGCAAGCCACCATGATAGTTTCACTTCAATTCAACAATAATTTACTGCATGATAGGTTGTAAACTTTTACAACTACTTTCATTTAAGTCATGAATCGATTTAAGTTGGAACATCGTTAACAGCTTGGAAACATTGAATGGCCACTTCGTCCTGGTATGTATGCATGCACGGTCCCGCAAACGGGATCGAAGGTCCTAGATTATTTTCCAGTGTGAGAGATTGTGGATTTGCACAGGTGAAGAGTTCCATACTAGGACGAAACGGTCATTCAATTCTTCCAGATTTTTAATGGTATTCTAACTTAGATCGGTTCATTATTTCAATAAAATTCAACAATCTGCACAACCCCATACTAAAAAATTATATACATTTGTCTTTTTTCAATTACTTTCATCTACGAGTTATTTTTCCTGATATGGTATTTTACTGAACGGCAGCTGAAATCCAAATCAATTTGTGAATTACAGTAATTTCAATAGTTGAAACCAAGCAAGCACTGGACGGCCGTGTCGTCCTAGTATGGAACTCCTCAGCAATCCGCATCCACAACCCCGCCCCCCGCGAGATTCGAACCCAGGACTTATCAGTCTCGCGAGCAAGCGCTTAACCATTAGATCACTGAGCCGACCGGCATCCAACGGTGTTAATGTCTAAATTCAACCTATCTAATTACAATTATTCTTTGCAAATTTACTAAAGCAATTGATGAATTTCATCTATTGGTTTATAGGATTACCACACTGATTTCCTTAAACTAATGTTTAGTATATAGGACTGAGAAAAGCATCTTTACCCTAATTCTATATAATTTTAAAACAAAACTTTGTTAATTTAATGTGCAAATAAATTATTGTGATATTTAGTTACTACCGCTTTACAGTAATACAATGTGAACAAACAAAGAAAATTTTGATACACACACAACACATCAATGCGTAGTTTATAGTCTTGTATAGCACAAAACATGTCTGCATATCACTCTCTATGACAAGGTTAATATTATTAACGAATGTTCTAACGCAATTTGTAGGTCAATATTGATCGATCGATAAGAAGACGTCCATGTTATTTTTTTTGAATTAGAATCAATTATTCTAAATACATTTCTAAGATTTCGACGCGTCAAATTCTCGCTCACTGATTTTAGGATTACTCGTATACATTCCACAGTAAAATTGTTTGTACATTCCTATCAAATCTGTGATTAAGCCATTAGCTGTTGGTATATAATATTCATCTATTTATTTATACTGAATTTTAGTCCATTAGCGAAAAAAAAGAAAGATATTTATTGTAACAAACATTCAACTTTGAAAGTTTATCTTGCTTTGTGTACACATGTTCGTCAGACCGCCAACAGTTCGAACAACCAGAAATCCCCGTAGACGACCCCCACATATACTTGCTTTGAGTGAAGCGAATCGTCCACTGTTACGACAAGTGATCAGAAGTCGTCGATCGAATCCAGTCCGCGAAGCATATGTATTAGAAATTAGAGAAGGTCCTGTGGTTAACAACAACACAAATGCAGCTACTACAAGGATGATACCCCAGCCATGGGTTACTGTACGCGACTATTTTAAAGGAAATGACTTTGTTAGTCTTCCTGTTTCTATTTGTAACACATTATTGAAACACCTTATGACATGTGCTATGGTTGATGATGACCACCGAGTAGAAAGCTCTGAAGATAGCGAAACTGAGTGTACTTCTTCACCTTCCCCCAAAGTTGGAGAAGAGGCAAGTTTAACTGAAACATCCGGTGAAACAGCATCACAAATTGAAAGGGGAGCATCTGAAGGTACGAAAGTCATCAAGAAAGTGTCTTCAGGAGTCAAACCCCACATCTTCCAGCTTAGTTTATTAAAACCTATAAGAATAGTGTGTGAAGCAACAGGATGTACACTGGAGGTTACGGCACGTAATCCTTTGCCAAAACACACATCCGCTAGTTCGGAAGAACCAACACAAACAGTCCAAGCTGACCCTGATAAGCGATGGCTTATTTCAGCTCCACTAGAAGTTCGTAAAAATATTTCTTCAAGTGGTGAGCAAACCTTGGATAGCAGTGGTATTGGTAGTACCACTAATGGAAGTGGTCGACGTCAGTACTCCTGGGAAACGCGTGGCACTTTGGAATTACATGCGAGTCTGATGCCCCAGCTATTAACATTTCTTGGTGAGTTATATTTATCCTTTAGCAATCCAAATCTAAGATCTAATAGTAATTTTAGCTAGGAGGGAGCCATAGGTTTATGAAGTTATATATATATATATATATATATATATATATATATATATATATATATATATATATATATATATATATAGTTTCAGTTAGGTCTATAGGCTTTACCCTAATACATAGCAGCCTTTATATTTATTGATGAAAAACATTAAAGTATTCAATGCCACACAGACAATATATAGTTCTATTATCACGCCTGATCAACAGTAGTCACGTAGTAGATAAGTTGATCAGGTGTAGATACAAGTCATCTAAGTCATTATATGCCTTCGTATCTTCCTAATGGGGTTCGGTCTCATCTCTTACACATACCAGAAGCCATAAAAATTTGATCTAACTATCCTAGTCTGTGTTCAGGCGGATTTTGTAACAGTATTTGTTTGTTGACTTGATCATTAATTTAATAACTTTATTTTCCTACGTTTTGACCTACTTCGTGTGCTGAAGTATCTATCCAAGTTGTTACGTTTCTCATCACAATGAGTACATTTCACTTTACCATTAACTGGTAACTTATTATGTTTAGTTATGCAATGTGTTTTATTTTTATCATTGACTCACAAACTGCTTTAATCGGTTTAGTTTTTCGTATATGGTTATAAATATTACTGTCACTAGTGTAAAGCCAGAAGTTCTAAATGAAGCAACGTTGTCATGTATTAGTGTGGTACTTATTCATACAATAGGAATTTTAATATTGTATAGAATATCTAGTTGAGTTAAATTTTTATTTTTACGCCTCTAACGTTTAGTATCTCAGAGATGTAAAAACTCCATGGTAGTATTTTCATCACTGTTGAGCTTAATCATGATTTCCCCATGATGATGACTAAATCATGTTGGACCTACTGAAATGTAGATTGAGTGATAATATCATTAGTTGTCATACTTATATAATTCATAGCGGAATATTTTTTCCAACGGTTTTAAACATCTGTTTATACTACATGTGGAACAACAGACCTTAAACATAATAGAACTAGAAGTTTAGTAACCTATAGATGAGTATCTCACAATCAATCACAAAGCGTAAGTGTATTCATTCTTAATCACACCATCTAATCAATGTACTGTGGTTTTTTTCAAAATTCAGTGTTAATGAGAATCGTTTTGTATAAGATCGGTTTACTTCAACTTATCTCTTTTCAAATTGAATGTTGGTTTTTATTAAAAACAGAATAGTAGATTATTGATTTTGACATCTCTCAACACTACGTGTAATCCACTAATAGAGATCTTTTTTTATATGAACACAAAGTTTTAGTGGTGGGTTGTTTAAAATTCAATTTGACTTAAGTTTTCGTCCACTATATAAAATGTTCATCATTAATCGTTTATCCACTATTTTCAGTCATTGTAAATTGACTACATGTGCAATTGCCCTCCGAATATCATTATTTAAAGGAAATTATTGTGTCCTTACTAATTTTGTAAGGTGCTTATTGGATCATAATTAGGCTTTAAGTTAAAGCTTTTATTTATTCTGTAACCAAATGATCTTGTAACGAGCCTATAATTTAAATGTTTGATCACTGTGAATTTTCAAACATTGAAATAGTAGTATTTTACCATTTTTTGTAATCTGCTGATACATTTATGCGAAAACAAAGCTTATGCTTTTATCTATGATTTGGACTCATTACTTGATTATTCTGTAGAGGTATCGTGATTTGATATATTCTTCTCAGTACAATACTCATACTTCAGTCTGAAAAATGTATCCTTTTAGTTTAGATATAGGGACTAGAGATAATAAATGTAATGTTGCACAGGGGTACGAACTAATCACAAAGAAAATCATACGTTTGTATTCGATTCTTTCTAACAAATAGGTTTACTTGGTCACCACTCTATTGTAAATGGATTTATTCTGACGCCAGATGCCGTTGCTTTTGATTGTATCCCAGGATCACTGAATATTTTGTATTCCAATTATCGAAATGTGACCACCATTTCCATACTTCAGTGTACAAAACTTTGAAGTATACAATTTATCAATTTAACTAGTGAATCTAACATTTCACTAGGTACAAGAAGCCTGAATTCAAGTTACAACATACACTAAATAATTCGAAGGTCTAAATGTTCATTTCCTTCTAAAGTAATACATGCATCAAATTATTGAATGAAGTCTGAAAAAATTATACGATAAAAAATTTTTATTTGAAACTAGTAGCTTTATATGTCAGGTCATACAACAGCAGCAACAAATAGCGTTACTGAAGAACTTTGAAATAGAAATTCGAACAAGATTAATATGATTCAAGTTCATTGGCACTAAATAAATAATGATGCATTGCACGTTTATTGATAATCAGCTTCAGGATAACATGATTTATAGTATTTATTACCGAGTTATCAAATGATACTCACTTCAACTCTATTAGATTTATTCATTCAATGGTTGCCAGTAACTTTTATATCTTATATTTGTTACTCATCGAACCAATTATCTTCGTAATACCGTCGGAATATTTACACTAAATGTCTACTAGAAACTTGAAATTTAATTACCAACAACGTTTTTACTAGTCCAAATATGTCATATATATATATATATGTATGACAGTGTTCATGACTGCGATTTAGAGGTTTAAGATTGGTTATTAAATCTCAGCTCTTCATATTCAGGGTTCGATAAGATAGTAAATGTATCTCATACTAAATGTTAAGTTCCTTAACATTTGGAACTCAGCTTTAACTGCACATCGAATTTAGCATGGACTTTCATCAATGAAATCTATTGAGTTCTTCAGGTTTAAAATTCTGTATAAATAACTTATAACGAAATTATGTGAATATTAGAGAAGTAAACTTTTATCAACATTATAGGTGTTGTTTCAAATAAATTGAATATCTTAGGATTGTTATAAGTTTAGTCAATTTTCAAAGATATGATTTGTGTACAGTTTGCATCAGAGGTGTTCAATTTGGCGTTGGTTACGATTTTTGAAAGCTTCCATCACCACTTAAATTGTTCTACTAGTGTGCAGTCTAATTATAATTATTTAGTCACCTTTCTTCTAATCCATACGGTAATATGTTTCAGGGTTCAGTAATAGGCTATGATGTCGGTTACTTTCAATTTATTATTTTGACTAAGTGAGCTATAAACGGTACTTTTACATGTGGCGGATCTTAATCATTGTAATTCAATTGTTCATACTGTCATCATGAGTGATTTTCTATGATCCATTCCATGACATACACTTCCTATTTGAGTGTTCTAAACATAAGTGGTGATGATGGACTAGTTTTAAGTCTGATAAATTAGTTTTAGGGATAATTTTCATTGAAATTTCACGAGATGATTTTGTCTGATTGCTTACGTCACTTTACATTTTGAAACACTGGTTGTTAGGTGGACTTCTTCCATTAAAGTGTAGTATCCTCCCTAAGTAAATTAAAATTGTAGATTTATTTGAGATCATTGTGCTAGACATTTTGATGCTGAAAACAAGTCTAAACTTTTAGGTATCATTACCAAGGTTTGACTTGATAATTTCGAATAAATTGAGCATTGGGTAGATTGTTATAAATAAATATTATATTTGTAATATCCCAAAGAGTAGAAAAATCAGATTTTCTGACGGAACATAATATTCTTGTTATTCCGTTTATACTATTTAAACTTGGATTAATTTTGAATTGGTTATTTATATATTCACTGAAGAAGTGACTTACACTAAGTCACGAAACGTCAGAAAATCTAATTTTTCTACTCATTGGGATATTACAAATATATTAATTTATTTATGTCTAAACTTGGTGATTTGATTTATCTAATATGAATGTAGAAATATTACTCATCTACAATAATTCAAAAGTTGATTCGAAAGCTTTTTATCAAGGAAAGAATTTTAAATTTGTATTCTGTTTATGTTCCATTTCACATTGTTTTATTAATGATTTAAGTTTTTTATACCCGATTTGTAGATGTAATCGGTTTAAGTTAAATCTAGAAATCACTTGTAATTGATCTTTGACCTATTTTTACTATTTTACTTTGCAGCCGATGTTGTGACACGTTATCGAGCGATTGATTTAATTCCGAAGGTTCAATCACTATACAGTATATCGGGTGAAAGGAGGTTTTTGTTTAATTTAAAAGATACTCGATGGGGAAAACGAATTCACATTTCTCAAGTTACAGACCTACATCGTAATGTTATCGGCATTCCGTTAGAGGATTTGGTTAGTTTTCGCTCAAGGTTAGATATGGTGATAAAAAGTTTAGGATTGGAAGATCAATATGCCATACGCTTATCTATCCACAGAAACAATGAAAATAGATCAACACATAAGGGAAAACATGCACCAGTTTCATCTCAAGATACTTCCAATGTGCCAGGTGAATCAGTAGGTGGAGTAAATGATACAGAAATAGACGAGGAGAACAATCGAATTGACACTAGCAATGCACAAAATCGTAATCATGAACGTGAAATTCGTCCTTCACGTACAGGGGTATTCGCACTAAACAATAAGGAAAGCAGAAACGTAGGGATATATGATAGTGAATCTGGACATCGTCGTAACCGTAGTAACAGATTCGGAAGACGTAGTACTTGGACTAATGGAGGACGTGGAAACCCAGTGAAACGAAGAGATAAGAATCAATTATCTTCTAATCAAGATTTAAAAACATCTGATGAAATTAAACATAATGAAGTAAACACAAATTCTAACCTTCAGAATTCACTCGAACCTGCTGTTGAACCGACTCGAATAACGCCTGCAGCTGAGGCCAGTGCATAAGTACAATATTTTGACTACATAGTTATAATGAGTATTCTGAATATGTTTAGACTTATCAGACTACATGCTATTTGTTTCCTCTGTGCATTAGACTATTCTATAATTATTGTTTTACGTTTGTATTATCTTAAAAAGAAAAAAGAGATGAACTCAATTATTTGTTTTTAAACTTTGAAGTATTTCAAGTTGTATAATTGAACCTCTGAAAGAATATGTTTTTTTCATTTTTTTTGGAGTTAAACTCATATATTGAGGGTTAATAAAACCAATCAAATTGTTCATTCATTAAAAATATATATATATATATTCTCCCCGTGTTTCATAAATTTGCCTGTTTTCGAGAGGAAAAAAAGAAACATAATTCTATTTAACTAAGAATTTTTTTTACTAGTCAGTCTTTTATAACTTTAACTATTCCTCATTCCGAAAACTACCATCGTTGTTTGAAGAATGTTAACATTCTTGAAAACCTTGAAGGCTAGCCTTCAAAGTAATCACTCAGTTTTTACTAGTCACTCTATAGTTATTTAATCTCCGATACAAATTTAGCTCTGTTGACCAATTTATGAATAGGTTCATTGAACCCATAGTTGAAGGGAATTTCCAGATAGTTCCGAATGATCGAGTAATTCATATTTAAATCCTCTGTAAGCTATTGATTTCCCCAGTTTTACAGTCATTTCGAGATGACTATTGACAACTTCTAGTATGAAACAAATCTATTGCTTTTTGTTAGTAGCATGTATCCAGTTGTGTGATATTTCATATTGAGGCTTTTCATTTGATATAAAGCCAAAAAGTCAGCCAACATAAAATCAACCGTACTTATGTAAATTCACTTGGTATTGTTTTACTTGAAGCTTCCCATTGATGTTTATGACTGCAATTGTTCAGTCTCTTATTGGCATATGTGCATACTGTGCGTATGTCTCAATATTGCCTTAATTCACAAGCTTTTATAAGCAAAGATGGATAGTAGCTACCAGTGGAATTCAGGACGTGCGTTTCGTCCTATTTGGGACTCGTCAGCTAGGTGTGTGGTGATCACTCTGGGACACGAACCCAGTACCATTCACTTCAAACGCCATCGCGTTATCCACTTAGCTACTGAGTCCTGATAGCCACTTGCTTGTGCAATAGGGTGAATTTAAATTCACTTGGTATTGTTTTACTTGTATCTTCCCATTGAGTTTTTAAGACTGAAATCGATCAGTCTGTTACTTAGGTAATTTATTATCCCACTCATTTTTTCAATGTAATAAATAACTTAATGAAATTTACTTCCCGAATCATAAGTAATAATACCGTATTAAATTTTTAGCTACAAAAAAATAATATAGCTTAATGATTTTACTTCAACATAAAAATGTCAGTAGACTAATTTTACCCTTCAGGAAAAAATCGATTATGACGAACACTACACTGCTGACAAAATTTTGATTTATAAAATGAATAATTTAATGAAGATAGCTGTTTCTTTTTGATAAACTTATTTGCTAAAACTACAAAATTGTATTTGTAGCTATTTTATAATACAATTATTAACTTTTTAATTGGTGAAACATGTTTATAATATCTAATCATTGTAATATCATATTTATAGTGATAACTTTTGTTTGTCACTGTAAATTGTTATTCTTTGGTATAAATTTATCTGTTCAGTAATAATGTGTTATTATCACTGTTGGCTTGGTCACAAATATTCTAGGTTTCGGTATATATATATATATCACTAGTATGTTATTTTAATCAATATCTTGCATATTTGTATATATTCATGTAGAGAATGAAATAAAATTTTAAAAAGTCATGCATATCACAGTGAATAATAGTCATCGTATTGGAGTACACAGTGTGTGTAACCATTTCAAATTAAGAAACATTTTCTACATCATTGTTCTAATTAGAGAGAGTTATGACAAAACAAAAACGATCAATATGTGTAGGTCATGACATATTATAAATAAATCTTCATATTAGAAAGTGGTATAAAATATGTATTTTGTTTGAGAAGAGATAATCATTATTATTATATATATATTTCCGTTCACATGACAACAAACCTGAAATCTAGTAACTTGTCTTTATGGTGTCCTATGAAAAAAAAGTTTAAATTTTGAGGGGATTCTTTTCTATTTTCTATATGAATGGATAAAATGTTTTGCAGAGTTAGATATTGTTTGTTAGCGTGCAAATAACCATTTTTTTTTAAAGTCAAATTAAAGTTTCTGAGTCCTGAATATAAGAGTATGATTGTCACTGAGTATTTCATATTGATTATCCAAAGCTATCTACATATGTCGTTTGTGAGCACGTCACTATAGCACATCCGAAATTACTAGATGAAAAAACCAAATAAAGTGGAAGTTAGATCTTCGAATTAAATTCACAGTGGAAATTATGTACTTATATCCAGTGTTTATCCACTAAATGAACGAAAAAAAACTAGGTTTTGCACACATGTTGAACATTAAGAGATGGATGTATTACAAAGTCACGAGGACGGACCCTATTCAAATTTGTAGTTCGAAAAACTCCAAAATATATATCAATATTACAACGGTTATGTGTTAATTCGAAGAAAAAATGTCGCTAAATTTTCAGCGCTTAAAACTGGAAATAATTTCAACACCAAGATGACCCAAGCTTCTTCAAGGGAAGTATGACGGTAACACATGGAATTACTGGGTGTGGTTATTTTTATTACTGTCGTCAGCATTCTCGAAAGTAAAGGGTCAAAGTATTATATATATATATATATATATATATATATATATATATATATATATATATAAAGATAGATAGATAGATAGAGAGAGAGAGAGAGAGACTTACCCAAATTGAGAACAGGTATCTTATTCTGTTTACTAGTGGGTGTTCTAGTCGATTAATGGCATTCTCCGCATTAACATATGAGACATACATATAAATCAATCACTTGAACATAACATAATCAACGTAGTCAGTCAGTCAGCTGCAACGTAGGACCAGGCAAGTATATGCATCGGTCCAAGTTGCCATACCGCATAAGCACAACAAGATGAACACCGGATTCATAGAAGTAGTTAATTCAGTGGTGGTAATATATTGAAGAAAGAGTGTGTATAAGGAGATAGTACAGGAAGATAGAATTAGTTCGTAGAAAGAAAGATTTGAAGTGATTTTAATCTCTTAGTTTAAAGGAAGACAGAGTGTGTATACACCGACGCCATTGTAATCGATTCTGAGCCATGTCACCATGAGTCTCCAACCATTGGTTACGATAGTCACGCGGACCCCAACCAGGTAGTCTGCATCTAGCAACATGGCTCAGACCAGAAGTTAGTGACTTCAAGCACTGATGCCACGTTTTGGTTTGGCCGCCCCTAACTTTCTTCCAATCATCCCTAACACCGGTTACCATTGCGCGCCGTGGTAATCGGTGTTCAGGCATACGCAACACGTGGCCCAACCATCTCAGTCGATGAAGGTTCATAACCTCATCAAGTGACTTACCATCATTCCCTAATACCCTGCGTCTAACCTCACTATTACTTACCCGGTGATCCCAGCAGATAGTCGCAATATTTCTAAGGCATCTGTGGTCAAATACTAGTAACTTACGAATATCTTCTACTCTTAAAGGCCATGTTTCGCAGCCGTATAGTAGAACGGAACGAACTGTCGCGCAGTATACTCGTCCCTTAATTGATAGACAGATATCTCGCCTTCGCCATAGATGACGTAAGTTGGCAAAGGCCAAGCGAGCTTCTCGAATCCGTGCTGAGATTTTGTCAGACTCCAACCCATTAGGGCTGATCAGACTTCCAAGATAAGTGAAGTTGTCGACGCGTTCGACTACTTCACTCCCTATCCTTAGTTCAGGTGTTGACGCAGACCAGTCCTGAAGCAACAACTTGCATTTGGAGGGAGAGAAGCGCATCCCAAACATTCTGGCATTGTTGCTCAGTGCTACCAAAAGACTCTGCATTTCATCAGCGTCTTCAACAAACAGGACTATGTCATCTGCGTATTCTAAGTCAATAAGTGGACCTCCTGGTAGGAGATCAATACCTGAGAATTCAGTCGATGAGAGCGTTATTTCCATCAGTAGATCTATGATGAAGTTGAACAAAAATGGAGAAAGTGGACAGCCTTGGCGGACGCCACTTGAGGTTGCGAAAGCAGATGACAGTTCGCCATAAGCTCTGACTCGACTAGTAGTGTTCGAGTAAAGAGCCTTCACAAGGTTTATTTACTTCTGAGGTACGCCTTTCAATGACAGACACTGCCACAGAACCTCTCGGTCAACAGAGTCAAACGCTGCTTTTAAATCAAGGAAAACCACCATTGTCGGACGCTGATAAGTATGCCTGTGTTTTAGAACCTGACAAATGGTGAATATGTGGTCTATTCATCCACGACCAGGTCTGAAGCCAGCTTGATTCTTTCGTGTTTGCAGTTCACGAGTCTTAGTTAGGCGTCCGATAATTATTGAGGCTAGTATTTTAGATACTATATTAGTCAAACTAATCCCTCTATGGTTGTCACAGGACGATTTCGATCCCTTCTTATATATTGGGACGATAAGTGATTGTGACCAGTCAGATGGGATTACATCCAACTCCCAGATTTTAGCCAAAATATTAGTCAACCTAATCGCTAAGATTGGACCATCATACTTAAAGACTTCTGGGGCCAGTCCATCTGGACCAGATGCCCTACCTCGTTTCAGATTAGCTATAGCCTTATGAACTTCAGCTAGAGTCGGGGGACCTACTTCAATGTTCCATTCACACTGTCTGGGAATAGAGGGTAGTTGTAGAGTAGCTGAAGGCCAGCTGAACTGTTCTCTAAAATGTTCCGCCCATCGTTCTAAGCGTCTGGACTGGGAGCAGATGAGTGTCGTCTTTTTCCGAAATGGTCTGACTTACACTTGATTTATTAATTCCAGTTTCTTTTATTAGTCTGTAGAGTTGTCTTGTGTTCCCTATAGCCGCCGCCTTTTCCATCTCTTTTGCTTTCGTTGCCCACCACTGCTCACGATCGTTCCTTAGACTTTTGCTAAACCTAGATCTGATTTCTTTACGCTCTTCATCGTGTTCAGAACCTGATGGGATGAGTTTACGAGAATCTATCAGTGCAATAGACCTTTAAGAAATCCATTGGTTCTTTGTAACCCTGTGATTTAAATCACTAGTAGATGTCACTGCTGTTTCCACAGCTGCTTGTATGTCTTTCCAATCAACATCGGGGTCAGCCTCGTTTTCAGAACTACCTAAGTGTGACCTCAGTTGTTCCTGGAACCTACTTTTGGTTTTCTCATTACTCAATTCGGTTCTAATGAGTCTTTCTTGTGTGGCTTTTTTGCGTCCAGTGAGGCGCAAGCAAATGTGTGCCCGTACTAGGGC